CTCTGCAGTGTGTGTGTATGGACTCAGCAGTCTGTGTGTAATCAGCCTGTGTGCATTCAGCAAAGCCTGTGTGCATTCAGAAATCTGTGTGTGTGTGTGTGTGTATTCAGCAGTCTCTCGGTGTTCATATTCAGTGTACTTTGTGTATGTACTCAGCAGTCTATCAATAATTAAAAATGTTATTCCTGTGAGTTGTTGTGTAGGAAGGCCCCCAGTGCACTGCTTTGCCTGGGGCCCTTAACACTGTTAAGATGGTACTGCTTGTGTGTGTCATTGAGCTTCTATTTAGTGAACATGTGTGTGTCAGTGAGCTTGTCTTTAGTGAGCTTGTGTGTCCCTGAACTTCTTTGTAATGAGCCTTGTATTTATACTATTGAGTTTGTCTGTAGTAAGCTTGTGTGTGAGTCAGAGTTTTTTGTCTGTCAGTGAGCCTATTTGCGCATGTCAGTGTGCTCACTGTACTATATATATATATATATATATATATATATATAGATATTGACTTGTAGGAATGGCATACATTTTTTTCCAGGGCTGCTTTGGATTCCCAGCTGGGCTCTGTCAGCAAGTGCGTTTTACCGCTGAATCATCTGTGTGAGCTGCCGCACACTTGAGCCCTGTTACACGCGCCTGGGAGCTGCTGTTGACAGGTACTAGTAGTCTAGAGATTGGGACATGGGGTATATGCTCAGCTATCTGTATAATACTATAGTGCTGTTCTCTGTATAATACAGATCTGTGTGTGTATAATATCCCGGGATAGTCAGTGCTTCCTGTATAGTGCTGCTCTTTGTATAATACAGGTCTGTGTCTCTATAATATCCTGGGACAGTCAGTGTTCCCTGTATAGTGCTGCTCTCTGTCTTGGGATATTATATACAAACAGACCTGTATTATACAGAGAGCAGCACTATACAGGGATCACTGACTCTCCCGGGATATTATACACACAGTCATGTATTATACAGAGAGCAGCACTGTACAGGGACCGCTGACTGTCCCAATTTATTATACACACAACCCTGTATTATATAGAGAGCACTGACTGTCCAAGGATATTATACACAGACCTTAATTGATAGCTGTGCTGCAAAATGTCCTTGGAATTTTTTTTCAAATGTTGGTAACTATGGAACTGTATCAAGGGAAATGTGTTTGGTTTTTTTAATAATCCCTGGTGGAAAATAATGAATCCTCCACCAGGGATTATTAAAAAAAAAAACAACACATTGTGTCGGGGGCAGGGCTTTACGTGCGGCATGGGCGGGTTAAACTGCGGCGAGGGCGGGGTTAAATGTGTCCCCCTACTTTTGACCCTGGCCCACCATGTGCCCCCCCTAAAAATGAATCCTAGAGACGCCACTGCACAGAATGTAATAGTTTTATTTAAAAACAACTCACCTAGGCAAAAAATAATGGAGTTTTAGTTACAGTATATGCTTATATATTGCATAAGCCTGCCACAAATGGGGTACATTGATGTTGTGGCAATGTATGATCACATACTGTAACTAATTTCTCATTATTTTTTGCCTAGTTGTTTTTAAATAAAACGACTTTTTTCAATAAACATAGCAGTTTCAGAGAAACTGCTATGTTTATGTTAGGGTTAATCCAGCCTCTAGTGGCTGTCTCACTGACAGCCGCTAGAGGGCTTCCGCGTTTCTCACTGTGAAAATCTGAGACTCAGACATGCCCTTCTTTGCCTACCTAGAAACAGAGGAGGCCTAGCCCTGCCAGACTTCAGAAAATATAATCAAGCCACAATAATACTGCGCATCCTGGAGTGGCATGCAAACCCCATGCGGAAACAATGGGTAACCCTAGATAGAGAGGGACACGGTAACACGTTACAATCGGCCCTCTGGAGAGGGTGCACAAATGGGGCAGAGAGCAGAGACAGAACGGGACCGGTAATGCATACACTGAGCAGCTGGAAATCACTAAGAGAATAACCTCATATCTCGCCCACCCCTAGCCCTCTGCTCCCGATCACGTACAATCGTGCACTGGGAGGCGGAATCCCTCCAAAAGCTTGGCCTTTCCTGGGGGTTGAGAATACGTACCCATACATTTAGCCCTGCAAGACGGGGCACTGAAGACCATGGGCTTCCTGCTGGAGGGCACGTCGTGAACCGGCCTGGCAATCCTCAGATACATGCAACTAAAACATTACTATGACACACTTCACCATAAAGAACGCCTACATAAGGACCTCACTTGGTTCGAGGAATGCTGTGAGAAAGGCACCACACTGGAAAAAGGTGTTTCAACACTCTATCAATATCTCTTGGTTGGACACCTGCCGGCAAACGTCACCTTTCGCAGACAATGGGAGGAACTACTGGACAAAACGCTCTCACCCTCTCAATAGGACAAAGCACTGATATGGCAACACAAGAGCTCCATCAGCTCACAATACCAGGAGACAAATTATAAAGTAACGGGACATGATTCACATCAAACCCTCAAACAGGGGAGAACCGTTCCGTCAAGACGGAGTTCACAATATACTTATGTCAACCCCCCTCCTCCCTGCCCCTGTGACTATGGCGCTGAGCCACGGGGCGCAAGCATCCTCTGCATTCTGGGATTGCGGGGAGGTGACCCCGGGCGAAGGGCACCGAACTCCAAGGCATGACAAGCAAGGCCTGGAGATCTCCCTTTCCACCTTATTCCTCACACTCCCCCCTTTCTACCCTTTTCTACTTCTCTATCACTCTTAAGCTACTTGACTCAAAAGACCTTGTAAATTACCGAACACCTCACACATCCTAGGATGATGGACCGTATCATAGAAGACACCACGAGTAAGGCAACAATGCCATATTGACCTCTTCCACACACATAAAGGCCAGAATACTCACACATGAATGGGGGGTGACGAGGGTGTGACCCACATCACTGACTACTAACCTCAGACAATAGCAAATGACGAGACAACACCGCCTGAACTACCGTTGAGAACGAACCAGGAGACTAGAAGGCCCACACCCATATGACCATATCTATCACTCTTAAGCTACTTGACTCAAAAGACGTTGTAAATGACTGAACACCTCACACATCCTAGGATGATGGACCGTATCATAGAAGACTCCACGAGTAAGGCAACAATGTCATATTGACCTCTTCCACACACATAAAGGCCAAAATAATCACACATGAATGGGGGGTGACGAGGGTATGAGGGTGTGACCCACATCACTGACTACTAACCTCAGACAATAGCAAATGACGAGGCAACACCCCCTGAACTACCGTTGAGAACGAACCAGGAGACTAGAAGGCCCACACACATATGACCATAACAGAATACTCCCGACAGGGACGACCTCGCACTAGAGACGCGGGAACAATAGGCCTATTGACAGAGACTGACCCACTGAGAGCTTTCCTGACTCCTGGCAAATTGTGGACTGGTGGTAATCTGAAAAAGAAATGGAAAGGTAATCTAAGTACCTCCACATTCCCAACCCTTATACGCCTTCACCAGATAGAGAGGGTTCCAAACGCCTCACATAGCGAGGTTATGTAACTATCAAGCAGGTTCCTCATATGGAAATGCAAATGAGTCCACTGAATCTCTGAACACTTTCTTTATGCTCACTTAATACATGGGCACCTTGAGACCCAACACAACAAAATGCCACACCCATAACTGTGGCAAGGATGGACTCTCGGTTCCAACAGATTCCTACAAATAGCAGAACACTGGCGCTTCAAAACCTAACTTGCTTATCTTCAGAACCGATGATAATGCACACTAAGTCCATTCGTTCACATTTGATGGAGACCTGCATGTCTCAAACTGTACATTCTATACTTGACTCAAAAACCTTAATAAAAACAGATTTAAAAAAAAAAGTATTAGAAATGTCTTGTAAAGCAAAAATCTGTAATAAGAGTTTTTGATACAACCATTTATGTATTAAAGTATTTTAATTCATATTAACCTCTTTTACAAAAATACTACTCATCTATACCTTGTCTATGATTTTTGTTGAAGGGTTTAATTAAACCTAATTTTAACACACCTCCTAGGTTTGATGCTTGCTGATTAAGTGATAATATCTGTATCACCATTGTGTTACACTTTTAC